AATCACGGACTAAATTATTTTTAGAATCTAAATATTTTTTTTTACTACTTTTTAATTATTTTATTACTTTTTATTTAGATATTTTCATTGACTCACCCTAACTCACTTCCCTTTTCTCTTTTTCGGTCCCTCACCCCGTGACCCCTCTTTCCTTCTCTCTTTCTTTCTATGGACTTCTATCTCTCTCTCTCTCTCTCTCTCTCTCTCTCTCTCTCTCTCTCTCTCTCTCTCTCCCTCCCCTCAACAATAATCTGCAACCTTTCACTCTCTAAGCTCCGAGAAGGAACCCCCACCATTTCTCTTGATGCTGACCAAATCAACCCTCAAAAATCTGAACCTCGAACCCTTGGGACATGGGAAATCCACCTACGGCATTGTACGTATCATCGATGCACCATCGGGTGCTCTGCCATTAATGCAGAGAGCTTGAGCTCTCTCAAACTCTATCTCAGGTATGAATTATTTCCCCTCTTGGTTGTGTGAGTTTTAATCTATCTAGAGAGTTCCATAAGCTGCATGATCTCCAGATTTCTCCAAAAAAAAATCCCTGATCACCGATTTCCCAAAAAAAAAATCTTGTCCATCAATGGCCTACAACAAATTCAAGCCTTTTCATTTCATTTCTTCTTCCCCTGCAATTCTACCAAAAATTGCCAAATGATGCTTGCTTTCCTTGGATCTTGAGAGAGTGGTGTTGGGCTAGCAGTGTATCTCGCTGAAGTTGGGAGTGGTGGTGTGATGGTGGCGTGATGGTGGCTGTCGGTGCTCAAGAAAACAGAGAGCAGAGAGTGGATGAAAGGAGATGAGGACAAACCAGACGAAGGGCTTAGTAGTCCCATGGTCACGGGGCGCTTTCGCTAAGACCTCTTAGCGAGGGAGATAGTCGGAGCGAATCCCATGTAGTCTCATTAAAGTGAGTCCCAGCAGGTACCAAACACGGGACTGTACTAACCTTAGTCCAATCCAGTCCAATGCGAGTTAAGGAGGGCAAACAAACACCCCCTTAAGAGTTTATCTTATACCTCCATTAAGTAGAATGTATTAAATTTATGATCGGGTTCGTTCATTGTATTTTTCCTAGGGTTGAGGACTGTAGTTGTAAAAAAAAATCATCAAAATCGGAGCTGAAATCACTGTTAAATCGTGATTTTTTGTTTCTAATCGTTGAAGGATTTTGTCCAGTTACCTAATCCTTGAAAGTTTGTTTTGATGATTTTTGGAGTATGAGATCTCGGAGTAATACTAACACGCCCCAATCCCAGTGTCCGAAGGACAATGGGATGGCCACGTGCTGGCAGGCACCCGAGGGTGATGCAAGCCATTTATGAATGCATATGCTAAGAACTTGTAAAATTACATAAAAATTTTGAGCATAACTACACAATGTAATATTCAAATACAACATTTACAAAATAATATAATAATATTCAACTGCCAACAAAATAATGGTGATGATGCATGACATGTTCAGGCATACTACTAATTAAGATTACAAAGAAAGGGGTCATACACTGAAAGGACTCAAAGATACCGATGCGGGAGTGCCTTGACGCCGAAATTGTACACCTTGATTCTAAGTCCTGAGGGGACATAAAACAAAACATGAGTGGACCAAGTTTATATATATGTAATACTAAAATAATTATTCATCAACGTACTAACTCCCAAAGTTTATGAAAACTCAATAGTATAATATGTAATAGGTTTTCCAAAAACCCTAGCATGCCATAAAACTTCATAAAATATATATCATATATAGTGTGCTTAGTAGTGGTATCAGTATCGCCCAAAGGCATATAGAACACTTCATTCGCCCGTAGGCCCTTATAGAACCCGACCAAAGCCATATATAGATATCATTCGCCTATAGGCATACAGTGACCACTATATAAGCACAAAAATCATTGAACATTATATTTCCAAAATATATCTCATCGGAGCTCAATAGCTCAAACATCATATCATAAATCATGTTCATAAATATCTCAGTGAAAGTAAATCCAGTAAAGCATGCAATATCAATTAGTGTAAATCCAATTTACTCATAAACTCATAAAACGTAACCATTACATCATGCTTTTCATGTATGCATTTCTAATGGTAAAATCATGCATTTTGGAAGGGGTCCACTCACAGATACTCCGTCGCCGAAAAGCTGTTCGAACTAGGAAGGACAAAAATGCCACTAACAAACGCACCTAAGCACATAAAGGGACCAATTAATAAAACTTTACTCAAACGATTGAATTAGGAAAAACGGAATTAGTCTATGAGGGGTCCCAGCCGAAACCCAAAAAAATCAACCCAAAAGTCAACGTTGGCCTGTCAACGATCAACGAAAGTCAACGGTCAACGTTGACCAAAAAACAACATCTGACTCAGCCGAGCCTAGCCATGCCGTCGGAGCTCATTGGAATCTAGGATTTTTGGTCGGAAGTTTGAACAATTTTCAAAGCTTCGTAACTTCTTCGTTTTTTAACCAAATTTAACCCATAATATATCAAAATGAAGCTAGGAAAGTGTAGACCAAGATTATATATATTTGAAAGCCCAATGGTCCGCTAGAAAACTGGGGAACTCACTGGAAAGCTGGGTAAACTTTAAACATTCATAACTTCTTCAATACTCAACCAAATCGAGTGATTCAAAAGCCAAAATAGTTAGGAATGTGGAAAAGAGATTCATATCAAGTGAGGACTGAGTGGTAGCTAGAGTTGGCCGAAAAATGACTTGAAAGTTGGCCAAACGACCAAAACCTGGAAATTTCCAGATTTGCACAATGACTTTCCTTGAGCCTTTTCCGAGTTTCTACATCACCAAAACCACCCAAAAACGTAGTAATCATGAACCTAGATACAACCTACAACAATAGGGACCAGTGTCGAGGTTTACCTTCATCGAAAATGGCGAGAAATCGTCAGAGAAGTTCCTTGAACAATGCAGCTCGGGGATGAGTTTTCAAATGGTTTTTCCTTCTATTTTCTTGGTTCAAGAACTCGTAGGGACTATGAGAGAAGGTGGTGTAGTCTAGGTTGTTGTTATGTGTTGTTGTTTGAGTGAAAACCCTCTAGGAGGGTTGGTTTTTTAGAGAGGAATGAGAGGGTCGAGAGTGAGGGAGAGAGTTTGTGAGATAGAGAGGTTTTCAGAATTTGTGAGAGAAAAAAAGGTTTTCAGAAAATAATATAGGGAAGAGAGAAGAGGGGGGTCACGGGGAAAAAAGGGAGATAACATGTGGGCCCTAGTGGCTCACAAAACAAGGTCACTAAAGACGAAACATGAAAATATCCGAAAAACGTTCGATGTTTTGAAACATAAAATCTTCGTTATAACTCCAAATTTGAATCCGTTCGCGCCTACGCATTCGTGATGATGAGTACGATAAGAATAAATAAAAAAGATTAGTCACAAGCGTTACATCGAGACGGTCAACAAAAGTCAACGTTCATGCTACAAGGGCAATTTGGTAATTTCATACGCTCGATAATATAAGAATATGACAAATTTAGGATGGGGTATCACAAATACAAACAAGTTTGATGGTTGGATTATTGAAACTAATTTTGCAGACTGCAAAACTAATTGAAGGAATTGGATAGGATGAAATATCCCTTACCTTTGCCTGACAAAATAGCATATATTGCCCTATGAAATGTAAACATTAAACCCTAAAGCATAAATTAAACTTTTGCACGACAAATCCGGAATTGTTTGTCACGCAAAATATGCCATATCATGCGCCAAATTTTTCCCTTTGCACGTAAACTTCACACAACAAAGGACTCTTGGCCCATCGAACAACATTCGTCGAGCAAAAGCCTCTGAAGAAACCAAAATGTTGACCTTTTTTGCCCGACGAACATTTATATTATGTTCGATAAAGTCTTGTTGCCCATCGAATTCCCGTTCGTCGGATAAATGTTAATTTCTGGTAGTGACCGATATTCCTTAATTATTAAGCAGTCAATTATGTGGAGAGCCTACTTCCTGTCTAAACTTACAGAAGATGTAGTAGTTGTGTTGTAATTCTAGGTAGCATTTAGTTTTTATGTATGTGCAATGCTTTTAAGAATAAAAATAAAAATATATGATAAACTTGTGAAACTCTTTGCAAGGGTTTTGGTTAATTACGAATATTCATCTTTGCAATCAAGTTTCAAGTTCAACTTTCCTCATTCATTCCGATAGAAAAACAAAAATATCGTGAAACTCTTCTTCAAGAGATTAATAATATGAAATCAATGCAGATGTGAAAAAAAATGTAATTATACGTATCCTTGAATAAATACCAAACCTGTTAGAACCTCTCTAACTTTCACTCAATGTACAATGTATTTCCAGTAACTTACTAAATATGGTGCCAGTTTGCATCCTATCAAAACCAAATTATAACACATTTCAACCTTCCCCAATACATTTTATCATACCTAAACCACCCTTAACAAGTTATATTTGCTTTATTTCTCAAATAGGAAAACCAAAGAAATAAAACAACCTGGGACCAAATAAAATCTCGCCGGAAATACCAATTTCACAAGTTGATTTCATTTTCTTTAACTATATTGAAGTTTCTTCTCTGTCAGTATTACCGTTTAATGATACTTTTCTCCTATACAAGTGGAAGGTTTAAGTTTATCTCTTAAATAATGAGTTCAACACCAAATTATTAAAGATGATATAGTGTAAATCACTATGTTATATGTAATAATTAAAAAAAAATCTCTTCAATCTTCAAGGATGATGGGCCATTAAGGCCTCCGACTCCAACCCAATTCCCATTTTCTATCAAAAATCTGTTTGAGTCCCCCCGAAATTTCGGTTTCGAAAGTCAGTGTTCAAACTGCATGGTCTCCACGGGCAGACAAAAGACCTGATCACATGCCACCGGCCTCGATCAACAGCCACGTGCCCATGCAAACAGACAACGTTAGCACTTGTTCTTTTCTCTCTTTCCGGATTGGAACGCCGACTCTCTCGTTTATCTGAACCCAATTTTCTTCTATTTAGACACCCCCCCCCCCCTTCACTGCAATGCAAATCCATCACTACATCCATAAAAAAGAATGTTGAAAAAAGCTCACATCTTCTTCTTCTTCCTGCTTTCTGTTGCTGTGTCTTTCCATGCAGCAAATGCACTGAAAAATGAATGTGAATGTGGTTCAGACGGTGGCGGTGGTGCTCCGGCTGGGTCTCTGGTGAATATAAATCAACGGCGTTCACTGGTTTCAACTGAGTATGGAGAGGTCTGGTCCGTTGATGTGAATGATGGACACGGGAGGCCTTACCATATCCAGTTCATCACTTTGGAACCCGACTCGCTCTTCCTTCCGGTGCTTCTCCATGCAGACATGGTTTTCTATGTCAACACAGGTAACATGTATTCCATCACATGGTTATTCGGAGACAGACTGTGGTGATGTTAGAGAATTGTTTATGTTGTCTGATTGTGAATCTCAAACTTATATTTACTATTTTTTCATTGGTGCATTGAAAAATGCTTATGCTACTCTATTGTGAATCTGAAATATATATATATATATATATATATATTATATGAGTGATGCTAGATTGACCACCTAATTAAACTATCTTTTGTACACATAACGTGGTGATTGATGGTTGAATTCCTTCTTTTAATCATCAAAGAAAGAATAGAAAGCTATATCATATGGTCTACACAATATATCTGGTTTAAAACCTGGTATCTCATTTTTGTTCCCGTATTTCACCATCTTGAAAAATGTTTGTCTGTCGGATGTAAATCTGAAACATTGATGAATGGTCCAAATCACGGTCTAACAAATGCATACTATGGATATCTGAAACCTCGACAAATGGTCGAAATTCACAATCAAAAATGCTTGTTGTCCAACTATGAATCTAATGACAGCATCTGAATTCCTTTATTTTGAGCCTATATATTTGTTTCAAGGCTAATGCTATTTGTACGCCCAAAGTTCACATAAAAGTGACACACTATAATATAGATCAGACCCACATAATAGCATAACCGATTTCTATTAGAGAGTGTATCAACAAGTATGTCAGTTTTGTGTGTACAAATAGTTTTTATTGTTATTTCAATTACATTTTATTTTTATCTTAGTTGGGGTTTTTGTTGTTTTGTTGGATTTTAGGGAGTGGGAGGTTGAGTTGGACTGATGATGATGAAATTAGAAGGGTGGATATAAAGAGAGGTGATCTCTATAGACTCTACCCAGGCACTGTTTTCTATGTACAAAGTAACTTAGAGACTGAGCGCCCGAAGCTGAGAATTAATGCAATCTTTGCAAGCAACTCTGATGATGACTTATATGTAAGAAGACCTATTTCTGATCCTTTTTCTTTACTTTCCTAGTTTACCATAAATCTTTTGGACATTTTCATCCATTTTTTGTCAAAAATTTCTTGTTTCTGTTGACAAAACGTGTGCAGGATCCAGCAGTAGGGGCATACTCCAGCATTAGGGACATAGTCCGAGGGTTTGATCCGAAATTGCTTCGGTCAGCCTTCAAGGTATGACCCAGTCCAACCCAGAATCAAACAATGGGAAGTTCTCACTGTGTCATCAGAAATAATTGTAAATTTTAATCTAATTTTTTTAATTTAATGCAAAATGGTGGTTGATTATTAGGTCTCTGAGGAAGTGATAGAATCAATAGTAAATGGAACAGACCAATCTGCCATTGTGCATGCAATTCCAACAAAGAAAGAAACTTTCTGGGATTTGGAGGCTCGATTCCTGAAAACGTTTCTACTAGGCAATGATGGCATTGCATTCAACAGTAAGAAGAAGACAACAACGTATAATATTTTCGACGAGGAACCAGATTTCGAGAATTGCAACGGTTGGAGCCTAACTGTGAACAAAAAAACCTCCAACTTGTTAAAGGGATCAAACATTGGTCTTTTCATGGTGAATTTGACAAAGGTCTGTCTTTGATCTATTGTTAAATTGAAGTGTGTAGTTAATTGAATGTTTTAATTTTAACAATGTGGGTTTTTTTTTTTTTTCATCGAAGGGGTCAATGATGGGACCTCATTGGAATCCAAGGGCAACTGAGATAGCAATAGTACTACAAGGGCAAGGGATGGTTAGGGTGGTTTGTTCAAGCACCGCAGTGAAGAAATCGGAATGCAGAAACATGCGGTTTAGGGTTCATGAAGGAGATGTATTTGCTGTGCCTAGGTTCCATCCAATGGCTCAGATGTCATTTAACAATAACTCTCTTGTGTTCATGGGGTTCAGCACGACAGAAAAGAAAAACAAACCTCAGTTTTTGGCTGGAAAATACTCGGTTCTGCAGACTTTGGACAAACAGGTCTTGGCAGCATCGTTTAATGTTACCAACACAACGATTGATCAACTTCTGTCTGTGCAGCCCGAGTCGTTTATAATAGATTGTACTTCTTGTGCTGAAGAAGAGGAGAAAGTGATGTTGGAAGAGATTAAAAAGGAGAGGGAGGAAGAGGAAGCTAAGAAGAGGGAGGAAGAGGAGGCTCGAAAGAGAGAGCAGGAGGAACAAGAGAGAAAGAGGGAGGACGAGGAAGCTAAGAAGAGGGAGGAAGAGGAGAGAGAGACACAAGAGGAAGAGAGAAAGAGGGAGGAGGAAGCAAGGAAACGAGAAGAAGAGGAAGCCACAAGAGAGCGAGAAGAGCAAGCAGCGAGGGAGAGAGGGGAGCAAACCGCGAGGGAGCGAGAGGAGCAAGCCGCAAGGGAGCGAGAAGAGCAAGTGGCAAAACAGCAAGAGGAGCAAGCCCCAAAGGAGCAAGAAGAGCAAGAGGCGACAAGGGAGAGAGAAGAACAAGAGGCGGCAAGGGAGCGAGAAGAGGAGGGTAGACAACAAGAAAAAGAGGGCAGGCAAGGAGAAGATGAAAGAAGACAACAGGAAAAAAGGGAGAGGGAGAGGAGGCAACAAGAGGAGTGGAAAAGACGAGAGGAAGACGCGCGGAGGGAGCAGGAAGAGGCTCAGAGACAACAAGAAGAAGGGCAAGGAAGAGGAGAACAAACAGAGCAAGAGGGAGGAGGCGGAGGCTTCGACGCGGAGGAGGGAAGGAGATATCTGAGTGTCTTGAAGATTTAACTGAGATCTAGTTTCTCCAGTTAGCTCGGCTGTTCTGTCTCTTGAGTTTTGGTCTGCTGCATGTTTTGTTCATAGAATAATGTCTTGTGCTGGCTTTTATATTTGAAGTTTTGCTATATATAAGTAAAGCTTGCAATTCAACATACTAAGTGCAAAAGTCAGCAATTACTATGTATATGGAAGACTGCAGCCCACTACTTCTGGAAGATTATCAATACTTGCAATAATTCCATAAATACAATTATGAACCGCATTCAATTATAGAGGGCTGCACTTGCAACAGAATTGCAAAATGCTGGAGGCAAACCGACCAAACCCTGTAGAACTGCTACACCAGCCACAGGCAAACAATTATGAAGAAAGTACTCGAGAATCCTAAGATATGTGTTGTTTTCAGGTATAGTCTATGACTGTAACAAGACTCTTGAATCGTTCTATAGCGTCTTACAATTAAAGAAAGTATTTATGTTCTTCCTTGACGTATTTCCAACCCTGATTTGCACATAGTAACGGATATATACTAAACGCCAATATCATTTATGTCCATATATGTCAGTAGTATGATGCACATGATTGTCTCCACAAACCAGATCACATCTTTCATAACATGGTCAAAATTGGAAAAGCATCCCGACAAATTATAGAGGTCTGCAGGAAAGGTTAGTCAAAATGAAAAACCAAACCTTTTCCGTAAGGCCAATAATGCAAGCTGTTGAGGAACCCTTTGCTTTGGTACATGAGCAAGCCTTCTCTAACACCCTGGCGGGGTTAAAGCAACCCTCAGGTTCCTCTTGAATTGCCCTTACAGAATGAGACATAAGTTCACGTGAAAAGAATCCAGCATTGACACCAACATCTGCCCATCCACCCACACCATCTGCTACACCAATTGCTTGTGCATCTTCACAAATGAAATGGGCATCCTCTCCTCCTGTCGCCTCCTTATCAGGATGTGGCAGGTAACATGATCCTGAAAGTAGCTTCAGAGCTTTTGGTCTGTCTGAAATGAAACCAAGGAATATACTGTTCTGTAAATCTTATAGACGTGACTTGTGAAAGTGTCTTCCAATCTAATACATGGCGCTGAGGACATAAATTGCCTACATTGGCTTGAGACAGTGCTATAACCCCAACTCAAATTAAGTAAACACTAATCAATTGTGTTTGCTATTCATATTGTTTTACATACATCAATTAACAAGTAAGCGTGCATAGAAGATAACCCTTAATTCCATTCTAAACAAAAAAAGAAATCTACGAGTGCTGAGTAAATGGCTAAACAATGAAATAGGCAAAGTAAACAACAGATAGAGCACATACTGGTCAGACAAAATGGTAGAGTTTGCTGGTTGTTCATCATTAGAGTTGCCATCAAATGTCAAATTATGAAATGTCAAATTATGAACAGCACCAGTAGCGTTGCATAAGGAAGATGACGTCTGGATATCCCTCAAAGCTAGGTTTCAGTAAACTGCTCTGCCGTCTATCACTAAAATAAACACCTGTAGGTTTTGATAAGTCAAATGAATTCCTGCAACTTGAAATTAATTCATCAACATAAACGTCACCAAAGACAGGTGTCGAACTTGAAGCAGCCATAGATTTTCCCTTACGCAGGAGGACTGGAACTATATCTAGTTGCGTCTGATATCAAAAGGGTTGCATACGGTACACTACAAGACAACCCTGAACTCCGTGACAACAATTTTCCACGACAAGGTAGTAAAGTTTTCAAATCTCCTAGCCAGCTCCTGCTTATCACTCTCCAAATACTAGAACATACAGTAGTGTTCACCTTGGGAAGTATCCCGGGCCACATTTTAGCACCTTATGTAAAACACCCTTGATTCAATTACCCTCCCAAAGTAAACCGGACCCAAATTTTGGTATCGGAGATAATGTCTCATCACTGACAGTCACAGAACATCTAATTTACCACATTAACCTAAAACCTACTGCTTCTAAGATTGTTCAACTTCCGGACCGAGGCGTATGGCTCTTAAACCTGTAAAAACGGTAACAAAAATTTGAATTTCATCACAAAAGATGTGAGCTTTTAGCTACATGCACAATAACAATGCTTAAATATTCCCTTAAATTTTATTATTTTACCAGAATTATGCATCCAAATCACCTCTACAAATTTATGTTAGCACCAAACAATATTATCTCAAAAATTGATTTCTGAGCAATAAGACAAGGTACCTATATCAAAACCAATCGAAAATTCGAACTTTGAAGCATGAGAACATTGCTAAAGAGAAACAAATCTTCTTCTGTAAGATTGTATTTCATTGACTGAATAAACAATTACATGGATGTTCATTTATATAGCCTTTGGCTCTTTACATTTATACCCTTAGCTTCCTTAACTAAACTTGTACAATCCTAACTAACCACAACTAATAACAAAACTAACTGCATTTAGTTTTTCCAAACTATTTATCATTAACAGAAATGGATGATGTATCATCTGTCCTAATACACCCCCTCAAGCGAGAGGAGGAATCAGAAGTGATGCCAAGAGGAAGCTTGGAACACAAGTAGCGGAATCTGGTTTTGGACAAGGACTTGGTGTGTAGATCAGCCAATTGATCAGCACTGCACACAAACTGTACTTTAAGCAGATTAGCTAAAACCAGTTCTCTAATGTAGTGGTAGTCAATCTCGACATGCTTAGTGCGAGCATGGAAAACAGGATTGGAAGCTAAGGAAATGGCGGAGATGTTATCACACCACAGAGTAGGCAGTTTAGGAATAGAACAGTGAAGGTCACGAAGAATTTTGCAGACCCAAGTGAGTTCTGCAGCTGTGTGAGCCAGAGACCGATATTCGGCTTCTGTAGAAGAACGAGCAACAGTGCTTTGCTTCTTGGCACTCCAGCTGATGAGATTAGAGCCAAGAAAAACACAATAACCAGTAGTCGACCGCCGATCAAATGTGCAGCCAGCCCAATCAGCATCTGAGTAGGCAGAGAGAGCAACAGAACCTTTGGTAAACCACAGTCCTTGGGAAAAAGAACCTTTGAGAAAACGGAGGACTCTTTTAGCGGCCTGAAAGTGTTGATCACGCGGAGCATGCATGAATTGACATAACTGATTAACAGCAAAAGCAATGTCCGGTCTAGTCCAGGTGAGGTATTGAAGACCTCCAACAAGAGACCGATATTCAGTCGGATTGGAGAGAAGTGACCCACTGTGATCCAGTTTTTGAGAGCCAAGAGGTGTGCAGCAAGGCTTTGCACCCTCCATATTTGTCCGCTGGAGAAGATCAAGTAAATATTTTGTTTGATGAAGAAAGATCCCGTGGGAAGACCTCTGAACTTCCAACCCCAAAAAATAGTGTAAAGGACCAAGATCCTTCACTGGAAATCTGTCACTTAGCTGCTGAATAAACTGATGACAGAGAGTGGAGTTAGGTCCAGTGACAAGAATGTCATCCACATACACAAGAACTATAACCAACTGAGGACCATTCAATACAAATAAAGATGCATCAGAGGAGGATTGGGTGAAACCAAGAGCATGTAATGCTTGAAACAGTTTATCAAACCAAGCGCGAGGCGCTTGTTTGAGTCCATACAACGATTTTCTGAGCTTGCATACATGATCTGGAAAGAGAGGATCAATGAAACCAGGGGGTTGTTGCATGTAAACAACCTCTTTTAAGTCACCATGAAGAAAGGCATTGCTAATATCTAATTGATTTAAGAACCAATTGTGTTGAACAGCAAGAGTAAGTAGAATTCGAATGGTAACCGGTTTAGCAACCGGACTAAAGGTTTCTTGGAAATCAATTCCCTCTTGCTGATGAAAGCCCTTGGCCACTAGTCGGGCTTTGTATCGATCAACAGTACCATCAGCTTTTGTCTTGACACGAAACACCCACTTGCAGCCGACGACATTTTGAGTGGAATGAGAAGGAACTAGAGACCAAGTCCCTGTAGATAGTAATGCATTATATTCATCCTGCATAGCAGCCCTCCAGTGAGCATACTTAGACGCTTGTAAATAGGTGCTTGGAACAAAATCAAGAGGAACTGGGAGTGGATGTTTAGTTGCTGCATAAGCCTTAGGTTTGTAAATTCCTGCCTTAGATCTAGTAATCATAGGATGAACATTAACAGAAATGGGAAGAGGGCGTGGCACAGGTGGTGATACATCAGGACTTGCAGACAGAGATGCAGGTGGTGAGACATCAGGATTTGCAGTTGGTGATACAGCAGGACTTGCAGGCATAGAAGCAGGATGAGAAGCACCCGGTGAAGAAAGAGACCTCGGGCTAGAGGAAGATGAGGTAGCAGCACCTGGATGAGCAGGTTGAGTAAACTTGCTAAAGTAAAGGTCCATGGAAGAAGAAGAATCTGGAGAAGCAGTGGCTGACCGAGAGTAATGAAGAGGCAGGGACTGAAAAGGATATGCGTCTTCATGAAAGAGTACATGTCTAGAGATGTAGACTCGGTTGTCAATAGGATCAAAACAGCGATAGCCTTTGTGTTGGAGACTGTAGCCCAAAAATATACAGCTCTTGCTCTTAGCATCCAGTTTACTATGCACATAAGGTTTGAGCCATGGGAAGCATTGACAGCCAAATACTCTGAGTTTGGAATAATCCGGAGGCTGATTAAATAAAATTTCCCAAGGAGAGATTGTAAGACCAGAGATGGGCAGGCGATTGATGAGGTATATGGCAGTCGAGAAAGCTTCTACCCAAAACACATGAGGTACATGAGAAGCAACAAGTAAAGTACGAGCTGTTTCAACAAGATGGCGGTGCTTCCTCTCGGCACATCCATTTTGTTCAGGAGTATGCGGACAGCTAAATTGATGAAGAATACCATGTGTGCGAAGAAAGGAAGCAAAAGAGTTACCAGTGAACTCACCCCCTGAATCTGAACGCAAAGTTTGTATTTTATTTCCAAGTAAATTTTCTACATAGTTTTTGAAGATAACAAATGTAGAAAATACATCAGACTTGGCTTTCAAAGGGAAAAACCAGCTATATTTACTAAAATCATCAACCAGAAGTAAGTAGTACTGGAAGCCACTACTAGATTTAACAGAAGTAGGTCCCCACAAATCACAGTGCAACAGTTGAAGGCTGCGAGTTGTAGTTGAAGAAGCCACTCCAAAAGGAAGCTTGTGGTTCTTAGCTAGAGCACAGTCTGAACAGAAGAAGTCAACCGAAGATTTACCATGCACGGCAAGCTTATTAGTAGAGATGACCCTGCGAAATATTGAAGAAGATGGATGACCTAAGCGTTGATGCCACACTTTGACAGGAGCTTTAACACTGAGAAAGGCAGAGTGTAATGAAGGAGAAGAGGTACTGGAACTTTGCAGTGGATAGAAACCATCTCTAACCGGTCCTTGCAAAAGCATCCTCCCCGAAGTACGATCCTTGACAGTGGATCCATAAGGGTCAAGAGTTAATGCACAATCATTATCCTTAAGAAATTGATAAGCAGATAAAAGATTATGTGCCATGGAAGGAACATGAAGAACATTCTGCAGCTTAAAAGAATGATGAGGAGTGTACAGAGAGGAGGAACCAACATTATGAATGGATAAACCTTTACCATTTCCAATATACACTTTGTCCTCTCCAGTGTAGGGAGTAGGAGAAGAGATGTTAGCAATATCATTGGTGATGTGAGATGTAGCTCCAGAATCAATTAACCAAGGCTGAGATGGTTTAGCAGAATGATGTACACACATGGCAGCAAGTTTAGCTGGAGGAATACGACCACAGATCTCGGGGTTCATGCGATCAAAGCAGTCAAGTGCCTCATGACTGGTAGATCCACAAATTTGACATTGGACTTTGAAGGTAGAAGAACCGGGATGATTGCGCGAGCCTTGATAAATCCGATTACCACGATTAGGATTGAAATTACCACGAGGATTGCGATTTCCTCGATTGGAAATGAATTGACCCCTAGGAGGCTTGCCACGATTGGAGTTGTACCGAGAGGCAGAGTGAAGTGGTAAAGACTGAGCAGCAAATGCCGAGGGAGTAGGAAGCAGAGGAGGCTGAGACTGCACAGATAAAGCCTGAAATGGTTCAACCACAGAAGCTGAAGAGACTGTCTTCCGTCGAGCCATAGAAAGCTCCTTGGTAAGTAGGAGACCGTGAAGTTCATCCAGAGACGTCGAAGACAAACGGAGCATTATAGAATCAATGAAGGACTCAAACTCATCAGGCAAACCATGTAAAGTAGCAGCAATTAGATCACGATCGGAGACGGAAGCACCTGCAGCATGTAATGAATCTGCAATTTCCTTGATTTGCTAGAGATATCCCGAGATAGAATTGGAGCCTTTCTGTACCGACTGAAGGCGTGAGCGCAATTGATGAATATTAGCCTCCGAAACACCACCAAAACGCTGTTCAAGCTTCACCCAAAGCTCGCGAGAGGACGAGACGCCAACCGTGAACGGAATAATCTCTTCAGAAAGTGTGGAATTCAACCAGATCAGCAGATTTTGATCTTTTTCATACAATTCTTCAAAAGCTGGATTCAGTGAGCGATCAGCCAAGAGAGGCGGTGGACAGATCTCAGTGCCTTCAATCACACCGAGAAGTTTGTAACGCCGGAAAATAGGAGCAAACAACGCTCGCCATGGAAGATAGTTGGAGCTCTTCAGTTTAATCGGCACCATACCAATGTTGTGAATCGTCAGAGAAGTGTACGAATTCAGAAAAGGAGGATTAGAAGAGGAATTAGGGTTTGGAGTCGGAGAAGATCCAATTGGGGACGAATCTGACAGAGAAGCCATGATCTCGAACAAGAATCAATCGACGAACAGAAGAGAAATCAGAGAAGAAAGAGTGAAGAATCAGAGTTGAAACACCAAGAATCGATCAAGAGAAGTTCGATCGATGCGGAAGATGGATACGATGCTGTGAAGCAAAAAGGCGAGATACCATAAAGAGAAACAAATCTTCTTCTGTAAGATTGTATTTCATTGACTGAATAAACAATTACATGGATGTTCATTTATATAGCCTTTGGCTCTTTACATTTATACCCTTAGCTTCCTTAACTAAACTTGTACAATCCTAACTAACCACAACTAATAACAAAACTAACTGCATTTAGTTTTTCCAAACTATTTATCATTAACAGAAATGGATGATGTATCATCTGTCCTAATAATTGCTGCTATGGAATGTAAAACCAGTTGAGAGGATAACCAGAAAACCGCACCCTTTTCGAGCTGGGCAAAACCGATGCTGGAACTGAATCCGACCAG